ACTTACCAGCAGCAGCTGGGATGCCTCCTCTTCGCCTCTGTCACCTGCAGGCCAGACCTCTCGTACATTGCTAGTCAGCTGGCGCAGTACTCACGCAAACCAACGGCCGAGAATCATCTGGACCTGCAGCGGGCTCTTCAATTCTTCGTTTCAACGCCCAAGATTGGGCTGTGCTACTCAACTGCACCAACCCCATCCTTCAACCTCATCGGCTACGTGGACGCCGATCACGCAGCAGACCCTGATAATCGACGGTCCAGGACCGGCTTCCTGTTCCGACTCGAGCCATCGGGACCAATCTCCTGGAATTCACAGAAGCAGGAATTGGTTGCCCTGTCATCTGCCGAAGCGGAATTCATCGCAGCAACCGCAGCAGTTCGCGAGGGCCTCTATCTGCAGGAACTTCTGCAAGAGGCGAAAATTCCGACTTCGCCGACCTTCCGCCTTCACTGCGACAACCAGAGCGCGATTCGTATCGCGAACAAACCTGGTTTCGTCAACCGCACCAAGCACATTGCGCTGCGGTACTTCTTCGTGAAGGACGAGGTGGACAAGGGCAAGGTCAACTTGACCTACTGCCCGACGGGTGACATGGCAGCAGACTTCCTCACGAAGCGACTGCCACGCCAGCAGTATCAGCACTGCTCCGAACTCAGCGGCGTGGTCAAGCAGGTCAAGTCGAGCTACGGCCAGGAGTGAAGGGGGGTGTTACGAATAGTGATATTTGATACTACTATGCACTCCTCACCGCAACAAAGAGAAGCACGCAGTAACGAGAATGAACGCGAAGCGTCAGACGGTTGGAATTGACTCGAAGCGTCGGACAGTTGGGACGCATCTGGACCGTCGGAAGCAGACGGCATCGGGCAGCTGCAGGCAGGATGGTTTTGGCGGGAACAGTTACGAAACTGTACGCGCCGCACGGTTGGGAGTGAATTTGAATAAGGGAATGTACCCCTTAGAGTACATGGCTAGATAGGTCGCTTCGTATTCCCTTGTACTCTTATTTATATCATTTTGTTTGCATGTTTTTATCATCTCAAGCATTTACATTCACTCTGCTATTGAGGTCAAGGGCCCACCAACTATTTCACTGCGTGCGAACCTTCCTGGGTAGATCCCGGGCTACGATCAATCTCTGATCGCAGCACTAATGGCGAAGCAGCGCCAGCCGGCGTGGGAGAGGGGGGCATCGTTGAGGGGTTTGGAGAGGTATTCATCAATGCCGACGGCAAAGCACTGCTGGCTCGTGCCGGCAATCACATCCGCTGTGAGCGCAATGATGGCCACATGCCCCCCGCCCTGAGCCCTCCCCCGCGCTCGGATCTTCCGGGTCGCCTCCAGCCTGTTGGAATACAACCCATCATGCCTAGCATCTGGGAAGGGAGAGGTGGGATGGGGAGAGAAATGAAATGCGAGTATTGGCATGAAATTCCCACCACATCGCCTGCAGCCCATTCATGCCGACATCTAGAGGTCCGTGAGGATGAGGTGGAAGGGGTGGGGCAGAGCGGTAGCAGCAAGGAGGTGGGTTGGGTAAGGTAAGTTGACATGAAAAATACAGTCTGAGGCATGTTCGTGAGCTGTCCTACCAAACCCCATTAGTACATGGAGGTCCATGGAGACGAGGCCGTAGGGGTGACGGAAATCATTCCAGCAACCAGCATTTGTGGTATCCTAATTGTGGGCCTGGTGCTGATGGCGTATATGTTCTGATTCTTTTTCCTTTTTTCGTATCCAAGGACCACGGTACCATCAAATGTGTAAAGGGAGCCCAATCCATGGAATTGAGGAGGGACAGTAGCTAGTTTCAATTGGGAAACAGGCACGTGGCTGTCGAAATCAACAGACAGGAATGATTGAACTAGCAGTGAAATCAGTACAAGTACCTAACCCTAGAATTGTGTACCCCCTATAGGCTAACCCACTGTAGCCTAAACAAACACAACACATATAATGTTTGACACACCCCCATAGGCAAAGTGGGGGAGAGCAAGGGGTCACAAGACCAGTCAAAGCAAAGCAAAACAAGCTCAGGGTGGATCTCAAGGATACCACACAAATTCCGAGCACAAGCAAGTGGTCACAAGACCAGTTCACATGCAGGTTGATAATATAGCAAGAGATACAGTGATCACAACCTAGCAAGTGTAAACATGCAGGCATATATATAAAGATCACAGTACAAGCAGAGTCAAGAAGTAAGTAAGTGAGGTCCAGCAGGCACAAGGCCTAGAAGAGTACAGAAACGCTGATGGTCACAAGGCTGAAGCGCCTTGGTGAACACATCAGCAAGGTTGGCCTCAGTGGCCACGTAACGTAGACGAAGCTGACCACGCTGCTGCAGCTCTCGAGCAAGGAAGTACCGCAGGGCGATGTGCTTCGTTCTGTGCTCCATTCTGTGCTCCTCACACAAGGCAATGGCAGCCTGGTTGTCGACGTACAGCACTGGAGGAGAACGAGGCCGCTCTCCCAAGTCGGTCAGCAGGTAGGTCAGCCAGCGTAGCTCCTGGGCAGCCATGGCTGTGGCGTAGATCTCAGCCTCACAACTGGAGCTGAGAACAGAAGAAGAGCGTGTAGAACGCCAAGAAACTGAGCCGGAGCCAAGGCTGAAGGTGTAACCCTGAGACGACCGCTGAGTAGCCTGGTCGTCCGCCCAAGAAGCGTCTGAGTGTCCAGTAAGTACAACTCGGTCTCGCCCTCCAAGCACTAGCCCCATGCCCGACGTACTGCACAAGTAGCGCAACACCCTCTTAGCGGCATCCATGTGCTCCTTCCTGTGACGGCCAGGAGCGACATAGCGTGCAAGGATGCTAAGAGGGTATGCAAGGTCAGGTCGAGTGCAGGTCATCAGGTACATGAGGCAGCCCACAAGCTCTGGATACGGGCCACTCGGCTCTACGGACTCATCCGAAGGAGTGGACTGAGGCGAGGAGTACGTGAAGCGGAAGCGCTGAAGGATCTGCTGCACCATGTGTGACTGAGTCAAGGTGATGGTGCGCCGTGCTCTGTCCCGGGTGATCCGCAAGCCAAGATAGCTTGTCAGTTCACCTAGGTCTGTGCACGTGTGTCTCCTCTGCAGCTCCGACTTCACGTGGGCGAGTGCCGCGGTGTCAGCAGTGGCAAAGACCAAGTCGTCGACGTACACGAGGATGTAGAACGGCAGCAGTGAGGTGTCTGTGCGTAGAAACAGTGACGGGTCAGCAGTAGAGGGAGCGAACCCAAGAGCCGCAAGTGTCGTCCTCAGTGTGTCGTGCCACTCACGCGGTGCCTGGCGGAGACCGTAGACCGGCCGCTGAAGCCTCCACTGGGTACCAGGAGGAACCGACCCAGTGAAGCCAGGAGGGCGGCGCAGCCAGATCTCCTCGTGCAGGCTGCCCTGCAAGAAAGCAGTGCTGAAGTCAAGTGAGTGAAGCTCGTAGTCGCGCTGAGCGGCTATGTGCAGCAGCACCCGAAGAGTGGTCATCTTCGAGGTGGGGGAGAAGGTATGAAAGAAGTCAACTCCCTCTCGCTGACTGAAGCCTCGAGCCACGTAGCGCGCCTTGAAGACAGGAGGAGAACCCGGTGGCCGCTTCACCCTGAAAATCCACATGCCACTGACGATGTTCGCCCCAGGTGGGGGAACCTCGTCGACGTAGGTGCGTGTGGACTTCCAAGAAGCCATCTCAGCGTCCATGGCTGTCTGCCACTGAGAGGAGTAGGGACCCTCTATCGCCTCAGCGTAAGTGCGCGGGGTCGGGATGTCTGGTGCATCCGGGTCTCCCTCAGGGGCAACTAGCATGGACACGAGGTGGGGTAAAGCAGCAGCAAAGCACTGGAACTCCTCATGTCTGTCCTCAAGGACGTCCGTGCCAAGAGCACACTCACCCCCGACGGACGGAGGACAGACAGACTCAGACTCAGACTCAGCAACAAGGCTAGTGGCGTAGTCTAGACGACACCGGGCAGCAAAGTCTATCAACTCAGCGACCAGAGCAGACGCAGCAGAGGACTCAAAGGTAGGGTCAGTGACAACAGTAGCGAGGAGACGGGTGACAGTGGGCGGCAGCTGCAGCGTGCGACGAGCGGGCGGCAGCAGCAGCGGGCGACGAGCGGGCGGCAGCTGCAGCGGGCGACGAGCGGGCAGGCGCTGCAGCGGGCGACGAGCGGGCGGCAGCAGCAGCGAGCGACGAGCGGGCGGCAGCTGCAGCGAGCGACGAGCGGGCGGCAGCAGCAGCGGGCGACGAGCGAGCGGCAGCTGCAGCGGGCGACGAGCGGGCGGCAGCAGCAGCGGGCGACGAGCGAGCGGCAGCTGCAGCGGGCGACGAGCGGGCAGGCGCTGCAGCGGGCGACGAGCGGGCGGCAGCAGCAGCGAGCGACGAGCGGGCGGCAGCTGCAGCGGGCGACGAGCGGGCGGCAGCTGCAGCGGGCGACGAGCGGGCGGGCGCTGCAGCGGGCGGGCGGCAATGTGCAGGCCGGCGGGGCCGCTGCGGGCTGCGCTATAGCGGTGCGAGCGGCGCACGGGCGGCTAGCCGGTCGCGCTCAAAAGAAATCGGCCGCGCGCGGGCAGCTAGCGGGTCGCGCGCGGTTAAAAAAAAAAAAAAAAAAAAAAAAAAAAAAAACGAGCCGCGCGCGATCGGCTGGCGGGCTGCGCGCGCGCGGTAGGTAGGAGGCGCACTGGGGCGCGTAGGCGCACGAGGGCGCACGGTAGGTAGGTAGGTAGGTAGGTAGGTAGGTAGCGATGGGTCCTAAGAACGGTCCTAGCGAAGGACCTGCTCTGAAACCATGTCGAAATCAACAGACAGGAATGATTGAACTAGCAGTGAAATCAGTACAAGTACCTAACCCTAGAATTGTGTACCCCCTATAGGCTAACCCACTGTAGCCTAAACAAACACAACACATATAATGTTTGACAGTGGCTACCATACTATAGACATAAGCTGATCAAAACAAGACATGCCACTCAGTAGCTGGAGTAAGACTCTCTCAGACATTCCTACTTGACAGTCACCGAGACATTAGTAATACCACTTAGGAGCCACCAAGATATTCGCTGTCACGAGCACGTCATCAACTTTGAACGAAAAAAATAAGGCCTTGGGTTCCGTGAGCACTTTAGCGTCGATTAACTTCTTGACGTTGCCGACAGGCTCGTACGCAGTTGTGAGTGCAGCATTTTCTGTAGCGGTGCAGAGGTAATTGCCGCTTTTTGCGTCTCGCTGGAATGTGCACGGAAACTCAGCCACTTGTTCGCCAGAGGCGGTGTAATAGTAGGCGGGGTTGGTGAATGTGGGAGTCGACTCGGTGGGCACCCCACGAACGCTGATCTCTAAGTAGGTGGACTGGGTAGTGGCCGCGCTGCAAGGGAAGACGGGGAAAGGGAGGCAAGAGAGGATCGGGACGAGAGTGTGTAATGGCGAAGGAGGTATAGTGGAAAGTGGCCATGCCTGCATGCATGCTAACATCTTTTCAGGTGATCTGCTAGGCTGCTGTTACTAACAGTGAGGAGCTTCATTCTGCGAGTTTAGCGTGAGAGAGGGAATGAGTGGTCAAGAAGATAGGAGATTGCCTATGTAGTCAACTTGGAAAGAGATAACCAGCGTTTGGGGCTTCAACGCAACACTTGGGTGAGGATACAGTGTGGAAAGAGATAACCAGCGTCTGAGGCTTACATTTCAGCAGTCAGCGTGGCCATGCCTCCCAAAACATAATTAGGAGTGTACAGCTTGGAATATGCCTTAACTGCGCGTCACGGAGAAGGGAGAGCAACGAGGAAAGGACAGTAGACGGATAGAAGGTTCAGAGAAACACGCACCAAGAGAGGAGCAACGGAATTATGGCAGGGTAAGCGGAGGGAGCATAAATTCGCTCCTTGTATATGGATCATGACTGTAGTAGTGCGACAGAAGAAGATGAGTAGAAAAGGAGGCTGGGTCAAAAAGTGAGTGCATGCAGTAGTAACATCATGTAACATAGCTCGTCGAACAAGAGAGCCGTACAGCTTTTCAGAGTGCCCTTCAGCTGGAGCAGATGGCGGCCGGCGATGGCGCTGCAGGTGAGAGAGAGAGCAGCACTGCATGCATGGGAAGACATGCACGAGACGAGAAAAATAGGGTTGTCGTTAAAACTCCGTTGTACTAGCCCCTCAAGATGAGATAGTCAAGGTTTGCTGGTCATGGAATCTATTTCATCCGATGAGATTTAAGCGGAATCAGGTCAGGTGGAAAAGCGTCGCAGAACGGGTGATCAGACTCTGCTTCTCACCAGCAACGACGAACGCGGATCGCAGAAAAGACACGTTTGCCATGGCTGCTTGGGAAGCTACTAGCTTGCTGGTACTTGCGAGTGATGCCGCGAATTAGGGCACTGTCTGACTGGAGGCTCGAACAGGCTGAAATGACTTATTCGGAATAAGACGCTTTATAGCAACTTGCTATAAAAAGAAGAAGCACGGGCAGAGCGCTGGAGGGCTGTACTATGTGGCTGCCACGCGCAGCTGTGCGGCATGCCATTCGCGTGGGTACGTTTGCCATGGCTGCTTGGGAAGCTACTAGCTTGCTGGTACTTGCGAGTGATGCCGCGAATTAGGGCACTGTCTGACTGGAGGCTTGAACAGGCCGAAATGACTTATTCGGAATAAGACGCTTTATAGCAACTTGCTATAAAAAGAAGCACGGGCAGAGCGTTGGAGGGCTGTACTATGTGGCTGCCACGCGCAGCTGTGCAGCTGTTGGACGCGAAACGCCTCTCCGTGGGCTTACGCGGCCTCGACAAGGCTTCGACGGGGCCTTCGCACGACCCTGACAAGCCCTATGCTCGTTTTCTGCTTCGCGTGCCCTTCGCGGGACTTTCATGGGACTTTCACGGGTCCCAAACTCGAGTTCCGAAGTTTCTGCACTTCACAGCAGCTTGACGGGCCTTTAACGGGCCTTTTACGGATGAAATCCGAATCTCTAGATTTGACTCAACCAAAACGGAACTTTGACGGGAGTTTTCTGCAGCACTAGAAAATTTCGACCAATCACAAGTGAACACAAATTCCAACCGAGGTATTCCAATTGTGTTAACTACAAATGCCTAGCACAACTTCTTATACTCTACCCAAAGCACAACCAAAAAGCACACACACAAATTGGTAACAAACGTGTCCCACACTCAAACCCTTGGCCATGTTTCATGTCGCGTCGCACACGCAACCCCACTAATTTCGTCGAACACTCCCCGAGTCCGAACAACACAAACTTGTTGAACACGCCTCAGATTCCTTGTTCAACACTCAACCTCCAACCAATCAAACCTCCCGTCAATTACTTTCCCGTCACCACTTCTTCCTCGTCAATTTCTTCCACCTCCTTCTTCCATACTTCTCTCTATTTCCAGTGCCGTAAACCACACTCTTAAGCAACGTAGTAGCTTCCTTGCTCGTTCCTTAGACGCTTTCAACACGCCACCGTTAGTCCGCCTTAGTCGTCGGTCCGAATTGCGCCGTCGTTAGTGTGGTTCGTAGAAACCACTCCAACAAATTAGGGCACTGTCTGACTGGAGGCTCGAACAGGCTGAAATGACTTATTCGGAATAAGACGCTTTATAGCAACTTGCTATAAAAAGAAGAAGCACGGGCAGAGCGCTGGAGGGCTGTACTATGTGGCTGCCACGCGCAGCTGTGCGGCATGCCATACGCTGCTGTGTTACGATATGAAGTTTTATGAGAAGGCATTCCTGTATGCTACAGGAGCCGACTCTACCAAGTACGAAGTCGAGGAGTCAGAAGAGTCGAAGCGACACAGCAACCGTCTGACCAAGACCGATGCAAGAAGAAACACTTGAAGTGAAAAGAGCGGGAACAGGTTTGAAACTGATTCCCGCGCCGCACGGTTTGAATTTCGCTGGAATAAGGGAATGTACCCCTTAGAGTACATGGCTAGTCTAGGTCGTTTCGCATTCCTCTGTAAATCTATATAAACCCAATGTATGCATGCTATTATCAATCTCAGTCATTTACATTCACTCTGACCTGAGTTCACTACTTCCGCTGCGACACTACCTGCGATCAACCCTGAACGATCCTTTCGGACAAATCTCACTTCAGATTGTAACATGGTATGAGAGCTGCTCAGGGATTCTTCGCAACGTCAACTCCGTAAAATTCGCCAAACCAAAACTGGCGAGCGGCACACGTTCCAAGACCAAGATGGCCGGAGGATCCGGAGGTCAAACAAATCTAACGGCCGAAGGACAAACCAACCCGGCTGCGACAAATGAGGCGACAACTACGATTGGCACTGCCGCGCTCGAGCAGTTATTCGCTCGACTGTCAACAATGGAGAAAGAACTCCAAGATCTGCGCAAAGGCGATGCGGGAACCACTTCCCAACCAGTTCAACCTGGACAACCGGCTGCGAAAAGCCGCGATACCGCCGCGCACGGCTTCTCCCTCGACTCAGACAAATCTGCAACAACTGCCCCTCGTCCAAGCGACGAAACCATCAACTCTGCGCAAGCACGCTTTCTCAGTGTGTCAAAGATCAAGACTACTGCCGCGTTTGACGGCAAGGATTTTTATACATGGAGTTTTGAGCTTGAGCTCCTCCTACAGACAGCGCAGATCTACCACTACTTCGACGGCTCCTATCCTAAACCGGTGGAAGACACCGAAGACGCCCGCGCTCAATACTACAGTGAGTCGCTCATGGCGTATAGCGTTCTGCTGCGCAACATGTCGCCGGCAGAACAGCTCGGCATCCGCTCCTATAAAGAGAGCGCCGCTCCGGCTCTTGAAGCTTGGAAGCACCTCGTGGAGGTATATCAGCCGAAGGATTCCGTCACTGCAAGCCGCCTCCTGCAACAACTCATGGAGACGAAGATGGGGCACGGGGAGAAAGCAAACAGTTACATCAACCGTTGTCGGAACATCCGTGATCAAATCATCAAGAACGGAAGTTCGATCTCGGAGGAGATATTCGTAAACATCATCCTCCAGGGACTTGGGCCCGAGTGGAAGCCCTGCAAGGCACTACTCCGACAACGAGGACAACTTTCCGAAGCCGCGCTATGCGCCGCACTGCTGACTGAACAGCAGGACATGGACTCGAGCAGAACGAGTTCCGCGCCACGCCGAGAGCGACTCGCCTTCTACACAGACAACCGTGAAGAGCGACGACAACCAAGGCGCCATTACTGCAAAATTTGCAAAGCCTTCGGGCATTCAACGGATCGATGCAAATCCCGATCCAACTATCGGCACCCGAATTCCACTCACCACAACAACTGGGTCAGCCGACAAGACGCTCGTCACTCTCAGCCCCAACAACCAGTCTCCCGTCCTCCTGCACAACAACAACAACCACAGCAGTCACAAGGATCTCAAGGAGGAGCTCCCAGAAACGTAATCGCAAACATGGCGACGCGACGCCGCTGCACCGACGAACCTGACGAAGAAGAAGAACTTCAGGGAGTACTGCCGCAATCAGAGGAGGGGTGGAATAACCCCCTTACAGAAGATCACCATTACCTGTACGACGAAGACGAGCAGGATTGGAATCAGCCAATCACACTGCGGGAAAGCCCGCCACACGACAATCATGTCAAACATTATATATGTTGGGTTTGTTAGGCTACAGTGGGTTAGCCTATATGGGGTACACAATTCTAGGGTTTGCCATTTGTACTGATTTCTCTGTTAGTTCCACCATTCCAGTCTCTTCTTCTTGACATGGTTTCAGAGCAGGTCCTTCGCTAGGACCGTTCTTAGGGCCCACCACTGACTACCTACCTACCTACCTATCTACTGTCGGAGCGTCGCGTTAGCGCCTCCCCCTCAGCGCCCTCGTGCGCCCTCGTTTACGGCCCCTTAAGGCCCCGTCGACCCCGCGCGCCGCCCCTTAGTGACCCGCGCGTCGCTCCTTAGAGGCCCCGTCGACCCGTGCGCGCCCCGCTTAAGGCCCCGTTTGGCCCCGTCGACCCGCCCGCGGCCCGCTTAGTGGCCCCGTTTGGCCCCGTCGACCCGCCCGCACCCCGCTTAGAGGCCCCGTTTGGCCCCGTCGACCCGCGCGCGCCCCGCTTACGGCCCCGTTTGGCCCCGTCGACCCCGCGCACGCCCCGCTTAGTGGCCCCGTTTGGCCCCGTCGACCCGCACGCGCCCCGCTTACGGCCCCGTTTGGCCCCGTCGACCCGCACGCGCCCCGCTTACGGCCCCGCTTGACCCGTCGACCCCGCGCGCGCCCCGCTTAGAGGCCCCGTTTGGCCCCGTCGACCTGCTCGCGCCCCGCTTACGGCCCCGTTTGGCCCCGTCGACCCGCGCGTGCCTCGCTTACGGCCCCGCTTGACCTGTCGACCCCGCGCGCGCCCCGCTTAGAGGCCCCGTCGACCCTATCCGCCGCCCCAAAGCGGCTCCGTCGACCCTACCCGCCGCCCCTACCCGCACCGCACGCGACAGCCGCGGCCCCGCCAGCAACAGGCCGCCCGAACCGAGCCGCCCAGTCCGAGCCGAGCCGAGCAGCCAGAACCGAGCCGCGCCGCCCGCACTGAGCAACTTCTCTGGACCGAGCCGCCCTACCTGCGTCGCGCTGCCCACTGCGTTTAGGACTCACTTACTGCTACTGCTACGGCTACTCCTACTGCTTCTATGGCTACCCCGCCTGTACTAGCTTTCGATGCTGAGGGCCGCCCAGTGAAGTTTGATACTTGGCTTGATGACCTGCACCTCTTCCTACAGCTCACTGCCAAGGAGGATATCTCACTGTATGACCACGCCCTCGGCCATGCTCCTGCCCCTGCTACTGATGCTGACAGCACTACCCGCTCACAGTGGCAGACTCGTGACGCCCACGCTCGCTTTGCCATCCGCAACTCCCTGCCGTTAGATGAGCGCGAGCACTTCGGCCAGTGCAAGACTGCTAGAGACCTCTACACCGCTGTAGTTGCCCGTTACTCCTCACCCGCTTCTGCTACGCTAGGCCGCCTCACTCTTCCCTACCTGTTCCCTGACCTAGCCTCCTTTCACACTGTCGCAGACCTCATCACCCACCTTAAGACTAGTGAGGCCCGCTTTCGCGCTGCTATGCCTGCCGAGTTTCTCACTAGCAACCCCCCCCCGCTCTGGATCACTCTCTACCACATCGTCACCCGCCTCCCTGACTCTCTGCGCGCAGTCAGGGACCACTTCCTCTCTCGCTCCCCCACTGAGCTCACTGTTTCCCTCCTCGAGAAGGAACTGCTTGCAGCTGAGGCGAGCATCGTCGCTGTAGGCACCTCTCGTGGCGACCCCCGCACCCCGTTCTTCGAGGGGTGTTCCCCTTCCCCCCTCCTCCCCTCTGTCGCCTCTGCTGCTGCTGTCGACCTCCTTGGTGCTGAGAAGGTCGGGACCGCGTCTGCTTCGAGCGGGCGCCGCAGGGGCAAAGGGGGCAGGGGCGGGGGTGGCGGCGGAGGAGGTGGGGGTGGAGGCGGTGGGAGTGGAGGTGCGACTGAGGAGGCTAGTGGCGGTAGTGGGGGAGGCGACAGCAGCGGCGGGAGTGGTGGCAGGGGCGGAGGCGGC